CGCCAGAGTCATTTGGGTAACCTGCCGCCAGAGTCATTTGGGTAACCTGCCGCCAGAGTCATTTGGGTAACCTGCCCCCAGTGTCATTTGGGTAATCTGCCCCCAGTGTCATTTGGGTAATCTGCCGCCAGAGTCATTTGGGTAACCTGCCGCCAGAGTCATTTGGGTAACCTGCCGCCAGAGTCATTTGGGTAATCTGCCAACAGAGTCATTACTGAGTAATGATAAAGGAACAGTGTGTATTCTGCTGAATCATGATGAACGTCAGAAGATTAACCTGCCTTTTTCCAATTCTGAAAGGTGCCATATGCAAATTTATCCCATTAAACTTTCTCTTTTATGTAAATCATGTTATACTTTTTATTCCCCACCATTCTTTCATAAAAATCACTTTAAAAATTCAAATTAGCTAACTGTAGCATTGCATTTAAAAATAAGACTGTGTAGCTGTTTAAGTTTTTTTATTACAATTCCAGCTTAAAAAAAGTAAAGTACGGGAAGATTATGGGACGAAAAAGAGCCGGAGAGGAAGGCGGTTTCATTTGGAAGAATTGTCCAAGCTGGCCATTTTTCAGCAGGGAAAATAAACACAAAACTGTCAGATGGTAAATAAAAATAAATCGATGCAATTAGAAGAGAAGAACAAACCTTGGCTTTCTTCCCTGCCAGCCGCATGTCGGTCTGATATATGCCTCTACGTGGGTTACAAGGTCTTCTAATGCATTTATATTTATAAAGCAAATGCTCTGGTCAAAGCAACATAAGTGTGGAAAGCTTGGGTCAGAGAGCAATAGTTCGGCCAGCATCCAGCAGTCCTGGAGCAGCTGGCCTTAAGGGCCTTTCTCAAGGCCCCAACTGTGAGAAGGACTACTCTGCCAGTCACGGGATTCAAAACCATAACCTTGGACCCCTGCACTAATCCTTAACCCATAATATGCAAAATATCCCATGCCATTTCCTGTCACACAAGGCTCCGCTGCCAATCCAATAGGAACAACCTGCACAGGTTATTATCCAGGTGTATTATATTTCGGTGGGGCTGTAACGGTACACATATTCGTCATGTGCCATTGATAGGATAGCATCTTGCAGTTGATGGAGATTTGTGGGATGCACATCCAGGGCACGAAGCTCCCGTTCCACCACATCCCAAAGATGCTCTAT